ATTGTTACAATGTGAACAAAAAACTAGAAAAGCAAAGAAAGCGCGCCTAGTAGCGAACAAAGAATTGGGAGCATTTCTAGCCAGTCTCTACCTAACTGGGTAGTGGGATCCCTCGTGTAATGGGCAGAACTGCTCAATTCAGCGAAAAGCCGGCTTTCACCTACCCCTAGGAAAGGACCTCAGTAATGGGGTTGGGAAGAGGGCAGCGAAATTGCAAAAGTGCGCCGCTAGCCGGCGTTTGAGCGCTTCGCGCGGATATCCGGCTGCAGATCGTCTAGCCAGCGCCAGCTGCAGCGGATACATAAGCTGGGTTTACACTGACGATTTTTAGTTGCCGAATTGTACAAACTTAGCAGTTTGGCAACTGACAATCGCCAGTGTAAACGCAAAAGTCGTATGTCCAACCGATCGATAGCAGCGAGACGGAAGATTATAACATGTTCTAATTTCCCCAACTCAGAGCACGCGAGTTGGACGTTTTTTTGCCAAGTGGCCAATCAGACAACAGCAATCAGGGGTGTGTCCCTCCACCCTAGGGGAGAGCACGTTTTTGCTTTAGGCGCCACGTGACGGCATGTAAAATTGTAATACATGCAAAAATGCGTATCCGCGTCGCCCCACGCGCACGCTACGGGTCAAATGTTGAAACGTTTGCCGCTTCGCGGTCGATAACGTAAGAGCTTTGAATATATATATAGGTTGGTAGAAAGAAGAAAAACGCCAACTTGACTGCATATAATAAATCGTCAGTGTAAACCCAGCTTAAGCCGCTGCTGCATGCACGGTGTATATGTAGCGCTCGCTGTACGTACGTACGTACGTACGTACACTTGTGTACATTTCAATTTATCAGGCCACGGGAGCGATTTTCTCTCGGGCGATCGCTCCCGTTATTGTTCTTACCAGAGCGATTTTAGAGCTTACCAGAGCGAAATCGCTCGTTGCTCCCGTGTGTTTTTTTCCCTGGACTCCACTACATCTGCACATCTGTTTGTCCTAATCCTGCTTCTGCCCATCCCACACCCTCCTCCCCATTTTTTTTCCTAGATACCTTTTCTCTTCCATTACATTATTAAGCCTACCCATTTCTCGGCATCTCTACCTTATTTACAATCTCATAGTCATAGCCATAGGCCACTGTTTTCTCCCACCCCACATCCTCTAGCTACTGAAGTGTTCACCCCTTTCAAACTTTTCCCCTTCACTTACATTTCTGTCACCCACCTTTTCCTGCTCAACATTATCTTCTAGTTTACCTTGTACAGCCCACATAGTTTTGCCAGTTATATTTCTAATACAATTGTTGTAATTGGTGGGGTTGTTGGGTGCACTACACATAATTAAAGGGATACTACATTGTTCTCATTAGGAACCGGCCACCGGCCGAATTGACCGTCTACTCTGCTGTTTCGGCCGGTTACAATTGGCTGAAGTATGATATTAAACAAACAAAAATTTTCTTTGCATTTACTTTGCTCTAATTATTCTCCAAAGTGAAAGTGTTTTATGAGCTACTACTAATAAATCAGTTGAGTATATTTGTATGCATGTTATGTGCACAAGATGCATTGTTTTGTTTTTGAGTAACGCTATTTACATACTTAGCTAACTCTTATAATTACTAAATCGTCATAATTTGGAAACTTTTGGTGAACTCTGTATGTACCAGGAGAAACCAAATTGGAAAAAAGGACCATACTGTAATCCAAATGTGTCTGTTTACTGCAGCTCAGAATACACCAGATTGCATCTCAGAGCATCTAGGTTTTTTTTTTATTGGGGGGGAGGGGTCACACACACCCACCAAACCCCCCGCCCGCACACCGCCACGGCCTGTTGCAAAAGCATTTCGGCCTGTTACTATAAAAGACAATGAAAACCCTGTGCTAGACTCTATAGGATTTTACTGCATACAACTGTAATTACTGTATAACAAATAGACTATACCCACCAGTGTTTGCCACTGAGCAGAAAAAGCTGTAGGCCTGCAGGGCCTATAGCTCCTAAAAGCTGCAGGCCCGCCAGCAAAGCTGTAGGCCCGCCAATTTTGGAGCAAATTACAGTAATAAGACAGCATATCATGTTCTTCCTTGTGTTTATTAGTCAATCCAATGTCCAATTATCAATGTCCATAATCATAATCCCTCTGTTTTTCCTTCGATCCTCTCGCCGGATGGCTGTTTATGCTTCTTTTCCGGGGGCTCACAATTAAGGAAACGCCACATCGTTGTTATATGTAGCTCCTTGGTTACTACGACTCTCCACTTTGACAGCAGAGAGACAGACTGGTAGTGTGGTACACATCGGGGACTTCTATGGGGGTCTGGGGGCCAGAACATTTTGGAAAATTATAAGCTCTGAGATGCAATCTAGAGCCATTTCAAGGTCGCGGGTGTCATGGCGCCGTTCAAATTTCGTAGCGTTGATGTGTAAATAATTAAAGTATCTGGTGACAAATACATGTGGGTATAGACGATTTGTTATACAGTAAGTACAGTTGTATGCAGTAAAATCCTAGAGGCTACTGTCCCTTTAAGAGGAAGGAGGATGTGTTCTCTTGTTTCCTTGAGTGGAAGGCTGCGGTTGAGAGCTCCACTGGTGAGAAGTTAAAGGCCTTGAGAACTGATAACGGTGGAGAGTTTACTTTAAAGGTGTTTGAGGATCACCTAAGGAAGCATGGCATCAGGCACGAGCTGACCGTACCAGACTCCCGAGCAAAATGGTGTTGCAGAGCGTAGGAATAGGACTCTCGTCGAGAAGATCAGAACCATGTTGACTAATGCGAGCCTTGAGAAACGTTTTTGGGATATCTGACCAACAGAAGTCCGACCAGAGCCCTTGATGGAGTGATACCTTTTGAAGTTGTGCATGGAGAAAAGCCCGATGTCAGCAACTTGAGGGTCTTCGGCTGTGCTACGTATGCCCACATCCCTAAAGATGAGCGCCTGAAGCTGGATATCAAGGGCAAGAAGTGTCGATTGATGGGCTATGGCGAGGAGGTGAAGGGGTTTCAGCTGTACGATCCGGCTAAGCGAAGGATGTTCTACAGCCGTGATGTAATCTTCAACGAGAGTGATCTCAAGTCTGATCCGAGCATCGAGGCTGAAACGAATGTGACGCCCAACCAACCATCAGTGGACGTCTCTGATGGTGATGATGATGATGATGATGATGCACCTGGTGACGGTGGTCTGCGTGACCCAGGGAATGCTGCAAATCATGATGTGAGGCGGTCAGATAGAGTAAGAAGAGCTCCAGACCCTCTTGGAGAGTGGGTGTCGGTTGCTGCCTCTAAACCGGCGAACTTCAAGCAAGCGCTGAACAGGTCTGACAGCAGAAAGTGGATGACAGCCATGGAGAAGGAGATGGAATCTCTTTCTCATAACGAAGTGTGGGAGCTGGTTCCACCTCCCCAGGGCCGGAAAATCGTCGGCAGAGAGTGCGTGTACAAAGAAAAGCTGGGAGCCGATGGATCGACTGAGAGGTTCAAAGCAAGACTGATGGCGCAGGGCTACTCACAACAGCAAGGACTGGACTATGACGAAACCTTTAGTCCAGTCGTCCGGTCAGAGTCTGTAAGGACGGTGATAGCCCTGTCAGCAAAGAACAACCTCTATCTTCATCAGATGGACGTTACGACAGCTTTCCTGAATGGCACCTTGAAAGAAGAGGTGTATATGAAGCAACCAGAGGGGTTCGTTGAGAAGGGCAAGGAGGATCTCGTCTGCAAGCTCAAGAAGAGCATATACGGTTTAAAGCAGTCGCCGCGATGCTGGAATGCAGCCTTTCATGAGCATCTGCTTGAGATTGGCTTTAAGCAGTCAACAAATGATCTGTGTATCTACACTTCAGAAGGAGAGCTGGTTATATTGGCTGTATACGTCGACGACATCCTGGTTGCAGTTAAAAGCCAGCATCGGTTGAAGGAAGTGAAGAAGGCCATATCTGATAAGTTCACTGTGAAAGATATGGGTAATCTTAGTTTTTTCTTGGGTGTGACAGTTGATCGAGATCCTGAGTCTATCTGGATGGGTCAACCGGGTTACACCAAGAATGTGTTGGAGTGATTCAACATGATGCGAAACCTGTGTCAACTCCCGTTGATACAAACAGCAAACTGGTCAAAGCAGAGGAGGATGATGAGACAGTTGACCAGAAACTGTACCAGTCTGCTGTTGGCAGTTTGCTGTATCTCTGTATATAAGACCACACATAACATTTGCAGTTAGCAATGTGGCAATGTTTTGTGCTGCACCAACTAAAGAGCATTGGTCAGCCGTGAAAAGAATCATGAGATATCTGAAAGGTACCATCCATTACGGTTTCAAGTTTGAGAATAACACTTCAAGTGAGTGTGTGGGGTATTCCGACTCAGACTGGGCAGGAGATGTAGATGACAGGAAATCTACATCTGGTTATGTGTTTCAAGTGTGTGGTGCTGCCATCAGTTGGAGGAGTAAAAAGCAGAGCTGTGTGGCACTGTCTACGGCTGAGGCAGAATATATG